TTTTCTTAGCTTTTCTTAGCTTTGCCTGTTTTTTGACATGTTCCATGGTCTTCCTGTACTTTTCCTGCCATGCTGAAGACGCCCGCTTAGAAGCGGCATGGGATGTGTTTTTATGATTTAACCCACCCTGATCCTTCAACCCAAAATGCCCTGCACCCAATACTTTCTTTAAGAGGTCCACTGTTCGGTTAAGGTTGGGAATCCTTCACGTTATTTAATAGCAAATGAAATGCAAATAGAGTGCAAATAAAGTGCAAATAAAGCGTAGTCCTGCGGGGAGCCTCGGGTAGAAAGTGTGGTTAAAGTGTATATAAAGTGCAAAAAAAGAAGGGACCGCGAGCCTCTGGAGCGCGGCCATTTGCATTTTTTTTGCACTTTTTTCCACACCTTTTTTGCATTTTTTCCAAGCGCAGCTGGATTTTCGGAAAATAATGTTTTCCCTAGGAAAAATGCGAACAATGTGCGACAAAAGTGTGAAGAAAGTGTGAAAAAAGTGTGAACATTATCCAAAACCTAGGTTTCCGCTGCAGAAGAGACCGCGAGCCTCTATTTGCACTGTTTTTGCACTTCATTTTACACTTTTTTAGCATTTTTCCAGGCACGGCTGCATTTTCGCAGAATAATGTTCTCGCTAGGAAAATGAGAAAAAAGTGCGAAAAACGTTGTTTCCACTGCAGAAAGGATCCAGCTGCGCCTGGACAAATGCCAATAAAGTGCGAAAAAATGTGAAAAACGTGTAAATGGACTTACTCGTTCCTCCCCTTGTACTATTAATTATAAGTAGCATTGTATCCGAATGCCACATTCCAGGTATCTTTATTTACACATTATTTACACTTTTTTTACACTTTATTTACACTTACTTCACACTTTTTTACACTTATTTCACACTTCTGCCAGCTACCCTTGCAAAATATTTACACTTTTATTACATTTTTATCTACACTTTATTTGTAATTTTTTACACTTTATTTACACTCTCCCGCAGACTTCTTTCACACTTGATTCACACAGATTCACACATTTAATGATCTGAGAGCTATCCAACGTTAACAGAACCAGGGCGTCTTAATACTTTCTTCTTCAGATCCTAGACCACCAGAAACCCTCCTAGACTCCTAAACCCCAGATGCGACAAGCTACCCCGACATCCCAAACCCTGCCACTCAGAGCCCTCCAGGCCTCAGCGGTTTGAGGATCCAGGGCACGGAGGCAAACTACACCGCCGCCTCGAAAAGCCGCTCAGGGCTCCGAAACGGAGTGATGCCGGCTTGAGAACGGTTTAGACCCGACCCCACAAAGAGGTTGAAGGCTTCAAAACTGAGCTACAAGGCGAGCTTCATCCTTCTGTAGACAGATAGCACTCGGACTTCAAAGGCATTGGTTGGCGACCTGAAGGCATTAAGGCTCAACGGTACAACACGGGAGGGAGCCCTTCAACATGCTAATGCGCCGCGCCGGGTTGCCAACAAAGCTTTCGAGATACTATGTTTAAGCTGCGTTTTGGCATGTCGACGGGCACATTTTTGCATGTTGACGGACCTGGCATGGATGTCCTACTACTGTACTACGGCTGTACTCAAGCTGTACTACTGTACTACTACTGTACTACCACTGTACTACTACGGGACTACTACTGTACTAATCCTGTACTACTGTACTACTACTGCACTACTGCTGTCCTACTAGCTCATGCCTTTGCCATGGCGGCGGCCCTTTCTGACACGTTGACGGGCCCTTTTTGACACGTTGACGGGTCAATTTACAATTTTTCACTTTCAATTTCCCCCGCCCGGGACAGGACGTCGAGGCATTTCTAGTACTAAAGTTGT